CTCTACATCTACACTGACTCCTACTATATCACAACACCTAACGTATGACATTACTATACACAACACTACTTATACAATACTTACCTTATATTCTATACTTACCTTGTTTATTCTTGCCTTTTCGTCTTCGACTAATTCACCTTAGCTTTGTTTTTCTTTCGTTTTTCCCTTCGTGTTTCTCCGCTTTCTCTCACGGATCCCTTCCACTTTTTCGTACTCTCCTATCTTTTATCCATTTTATGTGTCCCTTTTTGTATAGTTTTATCGTTCTTTTATTTTATATATTTTTTTACTTATTTTAAACACACCATACACTATTTCACAACTAAAGTTAATTGCATTATGGGTAAAATCCCAGTAAGCACGGGAGCCACCTGTATATAAGGTAAAGCCAGATCGGTCTAGGGGAGAGGCTTTTGTTCGTGTGTGGTGACAGACCGTTGGGTTTTTAGCTGGCTGACTGGTGCTTCTCGGGCTATGGCCTCTGTTTTTCAAGTAAGTGTATGGTGTGTTGTCCTGTGTATTTGTTCTTATGGAAAGTTTTGTGCGAAATAAATGTATAATATGGATGCTCCTTTTTATGTTGCCTTTTTTGTCAGCCAGTGGGCTTATTGTTTTTTCTCGTGACTACGGAATCACTCTTTAGCTCACCTGAGAGTCATTGTTTATTAACGCCAGACCCACATGGAGATTACCTGTAGTTGGAATACACGCTACCAAACCAACATCTTTAACTCTACGGAGTTTATAAATATCCACTACAATGATAATCTACCCGTGATGTGACCGCCCGAGCACATCTCCCCGGAAGTCCCGCCGCCGACAGAGAGAAATCTCTGATCGACGCAGGCGGGGGAGATAGACTTGTAGTGTTATCCCCTCCCAGCTAAGTCACTTTCAAACTACAACGCGGGTCTTTCAGAGTGCAACTTACGAACAGGGGAGCTGCTTTCAAAAGGGTGGTAGCTGGCGTGTACTGCAGCATGACCCGTTCGTCACAACCCTGAAGCCCTTTAACCCCGTGAGCAAAATAAAAACATTACATTATCTTTAATTAACATTTACTTTAACTGTTCTCATTCACTGTTATTATTGTTCATCAATGTAGTCATTTTCTTTTTCCATTTTATCAATTTCATTTCATTCTTAAGGGTAAGACGTGCCCATTCTTCTTTTAAAACCAAATAAAAAGTAAAATAAACAAACCAAGGATAAAACGAAACCAAAGCGTAAAAAGGTAAACCTGAGATCCCCTCAGTCTGTATATTCTCAAAGGTTACAATGCATATAACGCATCCTAACTGGCCTCTTACAAAACATGAATATACTTATCTTTCTCTCTTGTAGGAAAATCGAAGAAACAAACAAAACAGGAGACGTTCAGTGAGGCCGGGCGCTCCGTGAGCAGCACTGAACTGCCGAGCCAACAACCCAAAAGAGAGTTTAGCATAAACAGGCTCTTTATATAGGCTCTTATAAAATGTGTAAATATTAAAAATGAATGAAAATAAAAGAAGTTTACTTTACACAATTAAACGAAATTAAAATAAAACTAGAGGCCGTGAGAAAAAGCTAAAATAAATAAAACAAAAATACGAAAAATAAAAGGCTCCAGGGACGCAAAACTGCAGCTGGCTACCGCCGATCCCCACAGATGGTGCTGGTGCTGGCTAGAAAAGGGGGGACTCGCCTAGTCTGGACTCCTGCTTAGTGGGGGTACCTCACGTCCACTACAGACGTTGCGGTCGCATCAGCTTTCATGCTCCTCCCATCCTCGCAGTCTCGAGGTTAGCCGAGGGCACCACGTTGCCATGGGCGATAAGTCCGTGCACGGTGGAGCCGCAGATGCCGCCTGGCAGGCTGCCCCCTACCCCCTCCTCCTCGTTAGCCGAGCGCAACCCGCAGCCCAGGCATGGCCACCCTTGCTGGCGCGGAACTGGCCCGCCAGTTCCACACCAAACAGGTGAATCATGCCATGGCTGCGGCGAGCACAGATGGCGCGGGGCCTCCCCTCGCCAGCCTTTTCCCGCCTTTTCCGACTCCAGTCATCTATCCCCCATCTATTATCCCGCACGCTGGGTTAAGCCCCGGCTCTTTCTCTCCCACTAAATCATCCTTTCTATCCCTCCTTATCCTTCCCCTTCCCTCCTTCCTTCTCCCTCGATTCGATTTCGATTTCGAAGCGATCGGGAAGGGCTTACCTGGACCTCTAGTGCTTTCGTGGGAGGCTAAAGAGAGCGATTTGACACCCCCACGGCGAGCTCGACGATCTGGCCCTTGTGCTGATAACTTTGGGTGTTATCGTGCACTACCTTGCTTTGAGGCTAGTGATTCTAATTGTAAGCCCAGGGTGCTTGCTATTAAAATCACGAAGCACTATCAAATCAGCTCTTTTACTGCGAGGTGTCGGCCGGACATGTAAGGGCTCTGGCCCGTTCGGCAGGGTCCCGACCCCCGACCGACCCTAACACACAAAGAGAGCTGTTGTTGTTGTTGTTGTTGTTACATTCGCTAGCCATGCAAGAATGAGGAGTGCGGCATGACTAGCCCGGGTTACGCGTATGCCACCCGGACTGAGAAGTGTGATGGCTATCTGTCGTGATAGACATGAGATATATGATTTTTTTTTTTTTTTTTTTTTTGCATGAGATGTTTTTTTATTGTTTTTATTTTTTTATTATTATTTTTTTTTTTATGTTTTTTTTTATTTTTTATGGTAGCAGTAGTACTATAATATCATCTAGGAGGAGGGTCTCTGGTGAAGACTAATAGTGAGTCTGGGAGACTGAGCATTTCCACTAGGCATCTGGCAGCTGTAGATGCAAAGTGGCTTTCATCTTGTCGGTTGTTGCTGTGGAATTTCCTGGGTCGGAGATGTTGGATGGGCAGTCTAGTACGTAGTGTATCAGGGGTTCTTGAGTGATTGTGTCGCACAATGTACAAGGCTTGGGAACCCGCATGTCAATCTCCCAATTGCAGCGGTAACCCAAGCGAAGTCTGTGAAAGATGGCAGCGGTGTTTCGTGAGAGGTTTGACAAGGAAGGGGGATTGCATTCAGTAACTATCTTGTACCAGCTTGCGGATGGTGAGCCTGCAATGACCCATGCACGGTGCTCGATGAGGAGAGTTTCGTAAGCGGCTCTCCGTACGTGCTTCTTCAGCTGGCTGAGGCTTGGAGGAATGTAGCCTGTGACTAAGAGGTTCTTGAGGCTGTTTTTAGCAGCAGTGTCAGCTAAATCGTTGCCTGTGATATTGACATGGCTTGGTATCCACCAGAAAGTTAGGATTTTCTCCTGTTCTTTTAGTTGTCGTATATGGAACAGGACTGTTGAGATAAGCCTTAAGTTGTCTGTGGCTTGGGTTCTCCTTAGAACCTGTAAGGCTGAGAGGGAGTCTGTGAATATGTGGATGGTTGAATGTGTTTGATACAGTGCATATTTTAGTGCCATTTTGATGGCATATAATTCTGTTTGTAGAGTGGAAGCTCCATTTGAGACTCGACGTGCAACACTGGTTCCGTTGGTAATAAAGGCTGCTCCTGCTTTGCCATTTGTTTGATCGACCGAGCCGTCAGTGAATAGTAAGAGAGCTTCTGGTTGTCTGAGTGAAGCAGTTGAGCAATCATGGCCGGAGTGCAGAGAGCTTTCTTGGTGGGAATGGTATCGGTTCGGATATTTGCTTCCCAGTCTCTCCATGGTGGATTAGGTTGATAGTGTGGGTGCACACTATCTATGCCTTTGGGGTTTTAAGGAATGGAATGCCTTTACTAACTGGGTGCCATCTTACTGTGGCATAGTTCTTGGTTGTTGAGTAGATGGTTGATTGACTTCAAGGGGGAAGGTCTTGTTGATGTTATAATTTTCGAGCAGAGACTAACGGACAGTTGCTGAGTCCTATTATGGAGAGATGTTAAATATGTTTCTACTCGAAGATTGGCAAGCCTTGTCCATGTAGGTGCAGCAAGGATGGTCCTCATGGCTCGGTTCTGTATTGTTTCCAGGGAAGCTAGTTGATCAGGTTTTAAAGTCAGGAGTGCTGGTGCGCTGTAATCAACTAAGGATCTTATGGCATGTGTGTAGAAGAGGCGTAATACCTTGAACCCAGCGCCTAATTTGGAGGATGTGAGTCTTCGTAGAACATTTAAGCGGGACTGTGTGCTTCTTAATAGGAAACGAAGGTGTGTGGTAGCTGAAAGTTCAGAGTTGAAGAAGATGCCGAGGCATTTATAGGATGGGACCCACTCAAGTGGTATGTTGCCAATATAGAGTTGGTGATATGCAACTATCCTGTTTACCTGGAGTGCTTTAGATTTGTCGGGGTTAACTTTGAGTCCCAGTTCTTTGCTTTTTGCTTCAATTGCGTCAAGTGCTGATTGGGCATTGATATCGGTTTGGACCTGTGGCCACGAGTTGTATGTCATCAGCATATGCTAACAAGTGTACATTTGCTGGGAATTGAATTGTCATTAGGTTGGAAACCAGGATGTTGAAAAGGAATGGACTTAGGAGACCTCCCTGAGGGGTTCCATTCTCAAAGTTGTAAGAGTTGGACAGATGACCCTGGAATCTGATTTTAGCACTCCTG